GCATTACAGGTGCGCACAACCGCACCTGGCTAGTTTTTGTATTTTCAGTTGAGATGGGGGTCTCACTATGTTGTCCAGGCTGGTCTTGAACTCCTGACTTCAAGTTATCCTCCCAGCTCAACCTCAAAAGTGCTGGATTACAGGCAAGAGCCACCATGGCCAGCCTATACTTTCTTTATAATAAACTGTTAAATGTAAAGAAAGTTTTTACCTGAATTCCATGAGCCACTTTAGCAAATTAATCAAACCTGAAGAGGCGGCTGAGGGAACCTTGATTTGTAGCCAGTCGGAAGCACAAATTACAACCTGGGGCTTTTAGTTGGCATCTGGAGTTCAGGCAGTCTTGTGGGACTGAGCCCTTAACCTGTAGGGGCTGATGCTATCTTCAGGTGAATAATATCAGAATTAAATTGAATTATAGGGCACTCAGTTGGTGTCCACTAGAGATTTGCTTAGTGTGTGGGGAAAAACCTTTACATATATGGTCACAGAAGTGTGCTATGGTGAAAAACAGTTTGTGATTTAAAATTTGAATTTCATGTAATTTTCATGTGTGACAAAGTATTTTTCTTCCATTGACTGTTTATAACCAGTGAAAAATATAAAAATCTGTTCTTAGCTCAGAGGCTATACAAAAATAAGAGTGGAAGAAAGCAGGCCTGATCTGGGCTCGTGGGCCACACCTTCCCTACTTTGGCCTAGGTTGGCAAACTGTAACCTTGAGAACCTAATATCTAATGTAATGGAATTAAGAGGTGGGACCTTTGGGAAGTGATGAAGTCATGAGGCGTCCACCCTCACGAAGGGAATTAATGCCTTATAAAAGAGACCAGGGAGGGTCTGTTTGCCTTTCCTGCCATGTGAGGACACATCGAAGGCACCATTTATGAGGAAGAGGCCCTCATGAGACACCAAATCTGCTGATTCCTTGATCTTGGACTTCTCAGCCTCCAGAATTGTTAGCGATAAATTTGTCATTTGTAAATTGCCCAGTGTAAGGTATTTTGTTTTAGAGCTTGTATGCACTAACAGAGTAAGCATATCTTATTTATGGATTCTGGAAGAAACAATAACACTATTTTTACTTCAAAGAAAATGTTTAACTTTAATGTTCATTGAAGTATTAATTCTAAAATTAAAAAGTTAAAAACAACCTAAATATCCCATAACAGAGAAGCCACTGCTAAATGCCTCTGTACATCAGAATACTAATTGGCTTTTAACATGATGTTGTCAGTGGTAGAGAATGCTGGTTTTTGAAGTGAAGAGACCTGAGTATAAATGCAGACTTCCACTTACCAGCTGAGGATCTTAAGCACGCCCCTTCACACTCCTGGATTTTTCTCATATGCCAAATTGAAATGGCAATGTAACTTTGTCAGCTTTATGCTCAACATACTATAGGCTCTTTCAATATTATCTATTGCAATTGTTATTTGGGGGGCTTATAAGGGATTTTAAATTTTTTATGCAATGAATATATATATATTTTCATAATAGCAGAAAATGACTTTTTTATTATAATGAAAGAATTTCCCTCTGAAGAGAGAAATCATTTCTAAAATTACACTCACTGTGGCATCTATAGCAAAGTACCTGTGGCAGTATAATGTAGGTTAGGCTCGGGAGAGAAAGGCCTGCTGGGGATACCAATGACAGGTGAAGTCCACATGTCTCTCTGGAGCATCAAAGGACAGGAGAGAGGCCAGCTGCAATAATCACTAGAGAAAAAAATGAGTTCTATTCTCCAATAGGGAAAAGGCAAGACACACTGTAGCTTTGTCAACAGTTATGGAATGAATGAATGGGTATCAAGACTGCACACTTATAATCTGATTGTTGGACCATAGAGTGTGAATTTAAAAAATTCCGTATTCTATATTTTTGAAGAGGAACCTGAATTGTGGAGAAATTGTATGGAAAAATATTCATAATCTGATTAAAGGGTTTATAAGGATGTGACTGGTATGATCCATTTATTCATTCAATAAATAAGTTTTACTGAGTACCTACATTGTGCTAGCACTCATGATATGTCCAATGACAAATCAAGATATGTCTTGTTTTGAGTCTGAGTAACTTTGTTCTCTAATCCCAGGTGTATATTTGTGTTCATGATATGTTGAGCAGTTTAAGAAGACAATTTAAACGGCCTTTGGAACTTATCTCACTAGATGAGAGACTGAGTTAGATTAATAAAATATCACGAGCTGTGCCTAGGCAATGTGATGCAGTACATAGCCAAGGGTGAGCTGTAGCATCAGACTACCTGGGTATCAAAATCTGGTTCTACCACTCACTGGTCACGAAATATTAAGCAAGTTTCTTCATATCTTTAAATCTCCATGTTTTAACTGTAAAACAGGGATAATAGCATTGACCTAAGAGGATTCTTTTTTCTAAGTAAGAATATTATACAAAGAATGCTGTGCGTGGTGCCTAACAATAGCAAGCACCAATGACCAATAAATGTCAGCTATTGTTGCTCTTTTACCCTTGTGAGGCCCTATAAAGAAAAAGATAATTAAAATGGACCAAACTAGGGTGTGGTGGTGCACAGCTGTAGTCCCAACTTCTTTGGAGGCTGAGGCAGGAGGATCCTTTGAGCTCAGGATTCAACATTGCAGTGAGCTATGACTGTGCCATTGCACTCCAGCCTGGGTGACAGAGCAAGTCCCTATCTCAAAAAAAAAAAAAAAAAAAAAAAAAAAAAAAAACACTGGGCCTGAGAAGAAAATCTAAGTGTCAAGACTACAGCTTGTTGACATCTCCTGGTCAAGACAGAGCTTCAATGACTAAACTTTCGCAGTAGATTCTTCAAAGAGGATATTACTGTTTTGTATGTTTAGATTTGGCCTTATCAAAGGGCATGATTTTGAAGGCATATGACTACTAGCAAGTGGTCTTCTTAGGGATGACCCACGCTTAGAAAAAAGGATAACATCCTGGAGAACTTAATACAGGGGTAATTATCAGGCAGAGCTTCTTTGAGAAACTACCTTCCCTCCCTCCCTCCATCCCTCCCTCCCTCCCTTCTTTTCTTCCTTCCTTCCTTCCTACCTTCCTTCCTTCCCTCCTTCCTTCCTTCCCTTCTTCCTTCCCTCCTTCCTCCCTTCCTCCCTTCCTCCTTCCCTCCCTTCCTCTCTCCCTTCCTTCCTCCCTTCTTCCCTCCTTTCCACCTTCCCTTCTTCCCTCCTTCCTTCCTTTTTTCTCTCTCTCTTTCTTTCTTCTTTTTATTTTTTTCAGACACAGTCTCACTCTGCCACCTAGGCTTGAGTGCAGTAGTGCAATCATGGCTCACTGCAACCTCTGCCTCCCAGGCTCAAACAATCCTCTCATCTCGGCCTCCCACACATCTGTGACCACAGATGTGCACTGTCACACCTGGATTTGTTTTGTTTTTTGTAGAGACAGGGTCTTGCCATGTTGCCCAGGTTGATCTTGAACTCCTGGGCTCAAGAGATTCTCCCACCTTGGCCTCCCAAAGTTCTGAAATTACAGGTGTGAGCTACCATGCCCGACCATGTTCTTTCTTAGTCACACAAGTATTGCAGTCTGGCAGAGGGAAGAGGCAACTGCAAACCATATGCTAGAGAGCCCCATTGCCTCTGAACTTTTCTCATGTACAGTGATATTAATTTCATTCATTCAACTAATGTTTATTGATTGCTTCTTCTATTCTGTGTCAGGCAAGATGCTATGAGCTGAGAATATGATATTAAAGGGAAAAAGTGATTCTACCCCTCCTGCCCTGCCCTTGTGGACTTCAAATCCAGTGGGGGAAAGACATCAATCACATGGTCACCTAAATAAATGTAAAAATATAACTGTGGTAAGTGCTATTAAGGAAAAGTATGTGATGTTATGAAATGGTGTAATAGAGGAACTTTAGTCAGAGATTATAGAAGACTTCCTGGAGGAAGAACTGCTAGGTAATGATGAAGGGAAGCAGTGCTCAGAGTAATCAGCATGATGTGCAAAGGTCCTACAGTGGAAGAAAGTATGACACCTCCTAGTGTTTGCTTTTTTTTTTTTTTTTTTTTTTTTTTTTTTTTTTT